AGGAACTGCAGGCTAACTGCATGCCTCCATCGTAGCTAGCGCCCTCACACGGCTGGATGAGGAACTGCAGGCTAACTGCCTGCATCGTAGCTAGCGCCCTCACACGGCTGGAGGAGGAACTGCAGGCTAACTGCATGCCTGCATCGTAGCTAGCGCCCCCACACGGCTGGAGGAGGAACTGCAGGCTAACTGCCTGCATCGTAGCTAGCGCCCCCCCACGGCTGGATGAGGAACTGCAGGCTAACTGCCTGCATCGTAGCTAGCGCCCCCACACGTCAGGAGGGGAAACTACGGACTGATCAGCGAGGCTAGCGACCTCACACGGCTACAGGGGAAACTACCGAATGGCCGGTTCCATTGCAGCGAGCGAGTCGCGTTTTAATTAAACGTTTGCCTAGATATTCTATCTAAGCAAACGCCGCTTCCGCCTGGCCTGAGGTATCAAGTATGAATTATTAGTAAAGTTAATATCGCGAGCGAATATATATCGATTATGCAGCGCCATCTTGCATTACGTCACACGCAGGATTAAAAATTTTGCCGGGACACGGCCCCACAGGTTCAGATCTGCAATAGATTATTACGATCCTATTTAGTCGTGTGATGTGTGTAGTGAAGAGAGTTTTTAACCACTGGGCGGTTTAATTAACATTTCACACAATAATTATAAATGATTCCATGTACCAGCTATTGTCGACGTTGTTTGCTATATCGTTTTCACGAAATATTTCTCTTACGCTTCTATAGTACGACCCAAGATGGCCGGTTTCGTCGCAGCTCGTATCCCATAGGGCTGCCGATGTTTTCCTAGGTCGTAGATGTTGTCGGCGACATTATAAATACAGCTTGCATGTACAGCGTCCATGTATTACTTCGTCATGCTATATCAATATTCGACATGCGGACATATTTTACGCATCCGTGTTGCTATTGGGATGAGCACGTATACATTTTACAGCTCGTTTGATTGAATACGTAATCGTGTTTGTACAGATGCACGAGCGGCGTCCAGTATTTTATCGATGGGTTCAGTTATTACCTTGGCTTCGTTTTCCGTGTCCCTTAAGTCTGTGATTATATATTATTGATCCGCATCTTTTATATTGCCTACAGTTTCCTTTTATCTCCCTCGGCCATCCCTCCCTAGCGCTCTTATTACCATCTTTCCTCGTCTTGTCTCATTTCCCCATCGCAATAATTTTCCGATCCAGGCCGCTCCTCATTGATCTACCTTCTCCCCCTTACCGATTGGACCCGCGCGCACGTTCTCGCTCTCAATGTCTTACCATACCTCATCTGCCTTCATCATCTCCATCACCGACATGTACGTATACGCTAGTATACCTCATTCTCATTTCGTCTCGCCATTTTCGGGCTCTTTGCCCTTCCTTTGACCTCATCTCTATCTCACTCACTCTGGCCCTCCCGTTCTCTTCCTCGTCCCTCCCTACGCCCCTCCGATCTCGCCGTCGTTTCTTCGATGCGTAATTATGCACAAATTAACAAATTCGGACCATCACAGCGACGCGGCTATCAGTGGCCGTCGGCTGCGTCTAATTGCCCAGCTTCTCGCTAACCATCTCGGGTGAGCTGTAATTAATGACACTGTTGACATTACAGCATCCGATACGCGTGTTGTCCGTCTGCAACCGGCGCGCGCGTGTCGCCTAAGCGGCTGTATTTACCAGACGATAACTCACGCAGCGGGTGGGGGTGGGGAAGAGCAAGTGGAGTCCGTGCCTCGCGGCGTGTGCGGCGTCCTCTCTACTCTCGGGCGCCCGCCAGCGGTTTCGCTTAAAATTCGAGTGCTATAACGCGTTTATCTATGGATAACTACTTCGTAATGACCGCCGCTCCCGCGAAAGGTTCACGGAGCGAGTCTACTCTCCGGCCACGCGCTCTTGATGACGACAGTGAGTTGGAGGGAAAGCCCGCGCGATTTCACGTCGATGTCGCCTATTAGGGGTATTACGAACAACGGGAAACCTCTCGTGACGGTCACGTGGGACGGAGAGCAGAGCTCGTGGCGGTTAAATAAGTCATTTACTATCCGCATTTTACCTATAGTCGCGAGTCGACGTGACTTACTCGGCAATTTTTCACTGTACGCATCTGGGGACTCGTAAAAGCTAGGCTGCAATTAATTCCGCTCTGTTCATTAGCTCCTAATTGCACCACTGTCGGTGGGAGGTGACGTGTGAGGGGGCATCGGATAGTCTACAATGCCCGTTGCGATTTATAACCGGCGCGGCAGCGTCTGTGCGTGCGTCTGCACGTGCGTGTGTACCTGCGTGCGTGTGCACGTGCATGTGTACGTGCGTGCATAGGTGTGCGTGGGTCAGTGCATGTGCGTGCGTAGGTCTGTGTAAATATGTGTGTGCGCGCGCGCGTGTGCGCGTGCGTGCACGTTCATGTGCGCACATGCATTGGGGCGTTTGTGTATGAACTCGAATAGTAGGACCTTTATTATCCCCCCCCCCCTGCTATCCAACAGTAACCATCCTCCTGGTTATACAGTCTTGTATTTTAGCAATAACATTCTCAGTTTCCGTTTCCCAGCATTAGCTGGGTCGTAAATACACGACGGGAGCAGTCTATGGTTAGTCTTCGAAAACAGACTCTAAGTAGGATGTGCATGTTAGAATCCATACCGCCCAGCGCCTGACACGCACACTTACAAGCACTATCCGATTGAATGCATACAGTAAGTCGTAAAAAGGGCAAGGGGCGTGTGATGAGAGCGCCAACAACGTTCAGAGTTCAATTTAAAGCGCGGAGAGGGAAGTAAAATACACGCTCCTGTGAGACAACCTGAATGCTGAGAGGAAGACCTGATGCAGGGGGAAGCGGATCGGGAGCCCGTGAGTGTTGAATACTCACACACATGAGATGTATCTCTATTCTATAGCGCTCTCGTGCGTCGAACAGTGTGATGCATACGTGAAGATAAAATGTATGCAGCATTCGAGCCGCATATTGAGCAGGCTGAGCCCCTTCGTCTTCCTACAACTGATCTCCGTAAACCCCCTAATCCGCAGTTCGGTGGTTCGATACGCAGCGAGGGCCGGTGACCGCGGCTATGGCTTCCCCTTGCTCCGCAGCAGGTTTGGCGACTGCAGACTCGCCGCGGTAGCGCTCTCCCAATACACCTTTTGTTGGGAAACGCTAAAAGCGTAGGTGCGGGGGGGAGAAGGGGCGCATGCAGACAAGCACGTGCACTGTGCTGGAACGAAACGCCTCCTGCGCGCATCTCGGGAGTTTGTCCCACACAATGATGGGTCACGTTATGGCGTTGTGTTGGTGCAGGCATCACGGGACCCTGTCCGCGAGATATAGAGGCAATAGCGACGAGCGGACGCAGATGTCTGAAGAAGTGTCAGACGGATAGCGACTGCAATGGACGAAGAAAGAAGTGCATGTGTGATGACATGTGCGGTCAGAGCTGTGTTAATCCTGGTGGGTATATCGCTGTTGTAGTCATGTATATATATATATCGGTGTTGTAATAAAAATGTTATATGTAGTTGTATTAGTCTTTAGGTTCTCCTGCCATGCATGTATTGTCATTATAGATACAGGTGTATCAACCGTGAATAGTAAGTAATGTGTATTAATAATGTGTAATTAATGTATAGTCTTCTTAATAGGCTCTTGATAGTAGTAAAGTACATTAATGTATAGTAATAATGTGTTAGATAAGTGTCGCAATGATGTATTAGTGACGTGTAGTAATAATGTGTCAATAATGTGTTGGTAATGTGTAGCAATAATTTGTCAGTAATGTCTATAGGAATGAATTGTTAGTAACCATATTCGCGCTGTCGATTTTATTTGCTTAATATGTTGTCATTTTAGATGCCATTGATACACGTATTGCAATCAGAAATAATATTTATACACTGTTGTTATTTATCATTTATGCATGTGTCGGCGCAGGAGTGTCTCGATTATTTCTCCTAATGAATAGCAATAACATGTTGTTTGTCAGTATGATAATATGCAATATGCTACATTCCACCGTTCACGCGCTACTTGTTTATTATGCCATTCTGTTATTTGTTTGTTTCTGTTTGTGATCACGGGCTTTATTATCTATCGTTGTTTGCGATTTCGATGTATATATTGTGTTATTTTTTATTATTTTTTATTGTATTCTTTGTATGAGAATTGTATTTACGACGTCGACAACAACAACAACAACAACAACAACAACAATCACAACAGTAAGAACAGTAGTAGATGATTGATCGTCACGAACGTCTCGTAGCGCGCCATCTGGTGACAGCAATGCGTATGAGTGTAACCCTTTCCGCGTGGCGTCTTTTAGTGCGAGCGTGCCCGAAGCCCAAGGAGCCGAAGAACGGGCAGATAGAGGAGCTGTCGGATCGACATCACATGTTCCTGTTCGGCACGCGCATACATTACAGCTGTGACCGAGGGCACTACCTCGACGGACCGCAAGTTCGCTTCTGTCAGGGCGACAAGAACTGGAGCGGCTGGGAGCCTAAGTGTCAGGCCGTGTCGTCGGGAGTCAGTCCAGGTATAGGCGCTGCGCTGCCACCTTGACTAACTAACGCGCAGATGTCACCGCCTAGGGTTTGGCGGGGGCTGATACGACATGATGCGAAGAATGGCGCCGTTACTACTGCTGATGCATAGTTTCACTGCCTCTAACTTATATAGCACGCACACGAGAAGAACTCACAGAATATGAGCCTCCTCACTGCAAATGTCTGGTAATTACGGCGCCCAAATATACAGCAAAATAGCCTCCGGTTTGGGGGTGACTAGCTGTAGAGAATATTGATTCACGGACTGCAACACTACATAGCTGTTAACCTCACCATGCAGGGTTGTCTAGCTATAGAGGAAAGCCGCATTGCACAAGGTATAACCTACATCGGGCTGCCTGCCAGATGTCACATAACCGTCAACCTAACCAGGTTAGGGTTTCCGTTCGGGTTCGGGTTCGGGCAAGGGTTAGGGTTGGGATTGGGGTAAGGGTTAGGGTTAGGGTTAGGGTTAGGGTCCGGGCAATGGTTAGGGTTGGGGTTGGGGTAAGGGTTAGGGTTAGGGTTAGGTTTGGGGTTCGGGTTAGGGTTAGAGTTGAGGTTAGGGTTAGGGTTGGGGTTGGGGTTGAGGTTAGGGTTAGGGTTAGGGGTAAGGTTAGGATTAAGGTAGAATTATGGTTACGAAGAGAGCGAGCGAGCTTGTCGAGCCATTATAGATAGAACGCAACTAAATAAGTCCTCCTATTAAAGCTTATTTATGGATACTGGCAACCATAGACTATTAACGGGTACAACACTTCATACAATTATCAGCCGAACCAGGAATGCACTCATGACTAGGTGATTACGGAAAGCTAAAGGAGTTACTAGTAGTAGTGACAACGACAGCTATATCAGCTGGCCGGATACAACTTCACACTACTAATAGTGAAGAATGACCGATGACTAGTTCGGATGCGCTGGCGCGCGTGTGCGCGAGGCGGGCTATCGGGCGAAGCCTTTGAAATCAAGGGCCGTATAGATAAACATTGCAATGTGAAAATATAATTCTAGCGTCCCAATTAAGCGCCGAAATTGATTTAGCTCGCCTATAATTAATTCCCCTTCGGGCGTGGAAAGTTATATAGTGCAGAGTAAATATATGGAAATGCTTAATTCAGTAGTCGCACTGCGGCTGCGAGACAGTGGCGCGCCACAGTGCGACGGACTATCGTAAAAACTGGACGTATATAACGGTTGCATTTTACGCAAATAAATTATATATTGTATCGGTATTGGATTTGTCAATATCATATCGGCATATATGTTATATTGTATGTATTGTAAATTATAATTTGTCTATATGTAGAGATAGGGTGATAGTCTAGCGTGAAAAAGGCAGGGGTAATGCTATACGCCGGGCGCGTCTATTTTTTCCGTACCACAAATGCGCGAAGGGTTCCTCTGATTGGCTGCTGGAGGGAGGTCACGTGATAACGTTGACGATGACGTTCAAAAAGTTAACACTAACGGTAACTCTCACTCCAACACCGCCACCACTAACCCTCACACG